GTTGGAATTTGATTAAAGTTTGATTGTATTTTTGTTGAAATTCGATTTGAGTTTGATTGGTATTGTTTATTGAAGGGTTATTTTGATTTGGTAAGATCTGCCAGGTTTGAGGTTTCAATGAAACCCAGTAGCTCAAGTTTCCTCGGGAAAAGAGAAGAAGAAGAAATGGGTGGGTTAAGATCGGTTCTGTAGATGGAGTGGAGATGAGAGAGCATTCACAGAAGAAGAAGAAATGGGTTAAGATCGATTTTGCAGATGGAGTGGAGATGAGAGAGCATTCAGAGAATAAGAAAAAATGGGTTAAGATCAATTTTGCAGAAGGTGAAGATGAGAAATCAGTTTGCAAGTAACTGGAATCCATTAGAGAGGTTTGGCATGAAGAAGATGACATGTCATAAAAAAAAAAGTCCAGATAAGCATCTTTTTAAGTTGTGTTTGCCATGTCATAAAAAAAATATATAAAAAATGCCATGTGGCCGAGTTAACAGCCCAAATTGACAAAAGGATTAACAGAGTGCATTTTGTATAGTTGAGGGATAAAAAAAGTACAAAAAATTGTTGAGGGACCAAAAATGTGCAACTCACTAAAGTTGAGGGACCAAATTTAGCATTTAACCAAAAAATTATAAAAAAATGTCATGTACCGTAATTAACGGTCTAAATTGACAGAAAGACTAACGGAGTGCATTTCTTAGAGTTGAGGGATCAAAAAAGTGCAAAAAATTGTTGAGGGACCAAAAATGTGCAACTCACTAAAGTTGAGGGATCAAATTTAGCATTTAACCTAAAAGTAAATACCTTTTAAAATAATTATTTTCAAGATGAAGATTGATTCAAATTAGACAATTAAAATAATTAAAAAGAATAATGATTGAGGGTGGATGTCCCTCAAACGCCAATTAGGCCAAACCGAGGTACCATATTCGTGGATTGACTTTTCTTATATTATGGCAAAATATATGATTTTAGATTCAATATTTAGTAATTTATAGTCATTTTTAGTCATTAATTTTTTTTAATTATTACTTTAGTGGCTCAAGTGGAAGGTTAAAATTTTTCAAAACTAATGATCAGGGGGTGTTATGATTTAAATTTTTTAAAGGTTCGATATTTACTGTGTTGGTGTTTATAAACCTAATTCGTTTGTTTCGATCGAAAAAAAAAAAAAAAAAAACCTAATTCATCCTAGTGGGCAATGGGCCAAAGGCTTTCTTTAAAAAATCCAAAGGTAACATCTGGTCCATATTGAACCAAATTGGGCCTACAAAATCATATTCCTTTTCGGCCCAAGGCATTTAAGTTTGACTTGAAATTTGCATGTGATAAGAAAAACTGAAAAAGAATAAATAATTTTTTTTTTGTTTCTGATTAAGCCAATAGTCAATCATTAAAAAAACCTACCCTCCACCGATAAGTTTCATGTGGAAAATGCTTAGCATTCAGTTAAAAGAATATTCTAATTAATAATTAGAGTAGTGCTAATTTTTAAACCATTGCTTAATACAAAACTTTAACTTTATGGTAACTGAGATGGACTTTTTGATTGTCTTGATACTTGATGGCAATCCTAATTTATCTTTCTCAAATTATTTTATTCTCTAGTAATAATTGTCTAAAGATTGACACAAATCTTCAGCGTATAATGTGATTTGGGTGACAAATTATAGAAGGTTTATTCTTTTAATACCTAGTAACTTTTATTAGTTGATATTAAATTAAGGGGCAATGTTATTACTACATTCTCAATTACTAATGTCATATATTTTTATTTTTATTAATCATTATAACCTTTAATTTACTAATAAACAAAAGAGTGTAAAATTTTGAAAAAAAGTGTAATGTGAGGGGGTAATAACCCCATCTAAATTAAGTGGTTTTTCTAATTTGTGTCTTTAAAAGTGTAATTATTGTATTTGTTTTACATTAATTAGTATTAAAAAGTAAAATTTGACATTTATTTAAATAATTATTTAACTAATATTCTTCTTGTGACATTGGTGGTGAAATTAATGATAGTTTATGCATTTTTTTAATATTGATTTGTCAAAAAAAAAAAATGAAATAATTATACCATTAACTTGTGCTCTAAGGACATAAGTTACAAAAATTTTAAAATTAGTTGTTTAATTAATACTAGTTAAAGTTAAATTCATTTAACCATGTGTTTCTTCAATAAGTGTTTTTTGAACATTTGCACTTAAAGATGTATTTAATGTACCTTTTTGTCATTGAGTTAGGTAGGAAAAATAAAATTTGACTTTTTTGTTATCAATAAATTAATTAAATTAATACACGTAACATAAATACTAAAACTCATATTAATTTTTTTTAGTTTTTTATACAATTTAATGACTGAAATATGTATTAATTATACTCTTAACATGTGCAAGTGTTTGTTAGAAAAATTCCTTTAATAATACCTAATTAATCATGCGTGATTCCTTTTAGTCGTAATTGGTTGAGAGGGAAAAGAGAAGGTGAATGATGTGGGAATATGGGTAGACGATGTTGATAAAATATCATATATAGCATGCAATTAGTGATTGTGATTTGTAAAGGGCTGCCATAATCAAGAAAGGGAAGTGATAACCACATGTTGAATTACAATGGGTTGATGTTTGATTGGGGATTTATTGCAAAATTATTATTAGAAATTGGCCTCTTGTCT